GTGTATAAATCTCAATTTCGAAAAATGGACCCTTATGACTGGTTTTGTGGACCAGGGTCACATATTTGAAACTAAATCCAACACAATCGCTCACCTTCTGGTACACATACTGCGTTTTCAAGCCTTTCTCTCTGGCGCTGTCACGCAACTCTGTTAACCACTGCAAGTCAAGAATAGAGGGTTTGGGCTTTTTGAAGGTACAGGGCGCTTCCGACCCAAACACACCTGATCCGTCGGCATATTTGCATTGAACATGCAATTTACATCCTAAAAAGTCAAAGATATTCATGTTGCATATATATTTGTAATGCAACTGACTTATCCTCATTACACAAGAATGGACACATACTAGGCTATGTATGTATGTACATTAAAAACGAAATGAGCATTTGCACGTTTAGTAATTTGCTTGCAACCGACGTGCTAAAATCCGGATTACACACTATGTCAGATCCTAGAGTGATCATCTTTAAAAATGCATGTAAATTATTACTATTAGTACATTATCTGCGGCGTTTTGGGATGCTATGTTTCCCCGCCTGTGCTTTCAAAAAGTATTGTAGTTGCGTCATTTCCGTCCAAGGGTACACGAGTAGCGCCGCTCAAAGGGTTGATGGTGCATTTTAGCAAAGCTCAAAACGCTGTGAAACATGACATTCTGCATGAGGACTAAACACATACAATATGGTTGGATGATGTTTAGATGAATGTTTTGCAGTAATATACAACTAGTAGTTAATTTCCCCAACTTGGGCTCGATTAATAAGCACATTTAATCTCACTTCAATTATGTTTGTTTTAAACGAGAAATTCTTGTACAGTGTTACAGTTTGAAAGGGTGGTACAGAATGTGTTGGTGCTGTTGAAAATAACGGTTCTAAAGGGATAGGCACCTTTGAGCCGTTAATGCCTGATGGCCCCACAATGAAACAGCCACTGAATTCCACGAACAAGACCAAACAAGGATCTGGAATCCGCCAACATCCACCCACTGACATCCACCCATCTCTTTCTCTTCTGCTGTCTCTTATTCTTTCTCTCTTGCATGCAAATTCTAAAATGCTTTATTGGTCTAATCTGCCTCCATAACTGTTTGCATGCATGCAATCATGCATAAAACATACTTTATATATAAAATCAATAATTAAGTTCTAAGCAAGTAGCTGGGTTTCTGATAGTATGTTCGTGAAATAATACAAGGGAATGAATCACACTTATTTTTAAACCATCAACAAAAACACATTTATTGTGTAGGTGTGTTGTTATAGATTGCCACAGAGCCTACTTAATTTATCTAACAGTGACAAGAAATTAAAATGTTATTACATAGGCTATATGATGCTTTTGAATATAAAAAGTACAAAAAAATAATAACCCCAAAACACAAGTATTACAAGTATTAAAGGTTGTTACATGTGAAAGTAAATGTATAAAATCTAGCAAAAAACATACCCAGGAAAATATAACACCAGGATAAATACAAATCTTTTTATGATAAATTTATGCAAGTATATATTACATACAGTAGTAAATCAACAACACAAAATTAATTTCCTTTCTAAATCCCTTTTTCAAACATTCAGGGACTGCTGATATGTAACTATCAGTCGCTGCAGAGTTCATTTTAGTGTTGAGACACTACTACATAAAATCATTGTCCCACACAGTAAAAATGCAACTATTTAATGTCACATTGAATTGTGTATTTCTCCTGAGTTGTGTTTCATCTCATCTATTTGAATAATAATAATATTATTATGTAAACTGAAGTAGTGCATACTTATGCTGTAGACGTTATCGTCTGCTTTTGTGTGTTTCACAGGGAAAAGTACAGCTCGATTCTGCAGCAAAAGTGTAAACTGAATCTCAGCGTACTGCCATTAAAACAGCATTTTGCATGACTTCACTATCTCTTTTTAAATTCCCTCTTCCCTCATGTCTGTTGAATGAAGCAATAAATCATCAGAATACACATTAATCACATCCCTTATATATATATATATATATATATTTTTAGGAAACATCCCTTTCTCTAACTCCCTCCTGACCCTACAGTGTCATCGCTATTATGAGAGAGAGGGGAACTAGGTTGGGAGGTGTCATCTCTGGTAGCGTTCATCATTGGTGACTGTCTTCGTGCCCCCTTGGCCAGCAGGAGGACACTGTTTGGATGTTCAGTGTGGAGGTGGCACAGCAATGCATCCTGGGTAGAAGCTGTAAGGCCGCACTCTTCACAGACGTACAGCTTGTTCCGGCGCTCCTTGTAAGCGTACTGCTGCGTGACACCATGAATCTTCTTCATGTGGGACTCCAGAGAGCAGCGCTGAGTGAAGGCCTTCTCACAGAGATTGCACTTGTATGGACGAACACCTACAGGAGGAACAGAAGAATATTGTTCGAAAAAGGTGAAGAGTTTTTGCATGTTGGTATAACATAACACTTTTTCTTCTAATAACAAAAAAGTATTCAAATTGTTTTTTTTTAAACTAATATGCTGATTTGTTGCTCAACACTCTTAAAAACAAAGGTGCTTTACGATGCCACAGAAGAACCTTTTTTGTCTAAATGGTTCCATAAAGAACCTTTAACATCTTAAGAACCTTTCTGTTTCTCAAAAGGTTCTTTGTGGCGAAAGAAGGTTCTTCAGATTATAAAAAGGTAAGAAAGAGATGGTTCTTTGTGGAACCAAAAATGGTTCTTCTATGGCATCGCTGTGAAGAACCTTTTAAGCACCTTTATTTTTAAGAGTGAAGAAACATTTCTTATTATCAATGTTAAATTTTTAATTTTCTTGTTAAAATTGTTAAATTCTTAATTTTATGTGGGAACTGTTATATACTACCTTTCAAATGTTTGGGGTAAGAAAATAATTTTTTTTTTTATTCAGCAAGAATTCATTAAATTGATCAAAAGTAACAGTAAAGTTTAAACAGTTTTCTATTTCAAATAAATGCTGTTCTTTTGAATTTTCTATTCATTAAAGAACCCTGAAAAATATTTATCATGATTTCCACAAAAATATTAAACCGTAAAAACTGTTTTCAGTATTGATCATAATAAAAACTATTATTAATAATTGAGTACCAATGATAATTTATAATAATTTGTGCACCACATCAGCATATTAGAATGATTTCTGAAGGATCCTGTGACACTGAAGACGCCTGCTGAAAATTAAGCTTTGCATCACAGGAATAAATTCTATTTTTAAATATATTCAAATAGAAAACAGTTATTTTAAATGTTAATATTATTTCACAATATTACTGTTTTTACTGTATTTTTAATCAAAAAAATGCAGCTTTGGTCTTTTTTCAAAAACCATTTACAAATCTTAATGATTCTAAGTGTTTTTGACCTTTAGTCTGATATAGATATCTATACATTAAAAAAAAATGTTTGACCTCATAATGTTTTCAATCTTCCAGTGAAAATGATTAAATCCCGCCCCTCCAAAACATCCACATCTCAGAATCCAATCAGCACCCAATTATTTGTGGCTACTTCCATTTTATCACAAACAGATGAGGCGCTTACCTGTGTGTGTGCGGACATGCCTCTTGAGATCGAAGGTGTCGTTAAAGCCCTTTCCGCAAAAGTCGCACAGGTGTTTCTTCTGCTCGCTGTGACATTTCAGGTGTCTGTTTAGCATGCGCTGGAACTGGAAAACTTTTTGACACACCTGGCAAACATAAGTACCACCACTCGACTGCACTGAAGGCGACTTAGCGGCAGGAGGGGAGCAAGGTATCGCTATAGAAGCAGGTGGACTTGTAGTTACGCTAGGAACAATAGGTGGAACCTCTTTGGGAAGCTCACCTGTGGTAACCTGCAGCAAGATAACAAACAAAGACGAAATGAGTGGTAGTGTAAACATTCAGACTAGTAAAGTGATATGAGTATAACCCACAAATCAATTATGTCCAACAGTGGCACAATGGCTCCGCAGCGAAATATGAGCTTATTGCTGTAGTAACTAGATCTTAGATCAACATAGTAAAAGTAAACATTTTCCAGAAGCCTCACCTTTATTTTAGTGCGCACGTACGTATTGTTGTGTGTGCTTCGGATGTGCTCGGTCTCTGGACTCTGGCCCAGAGCAGTGCATGATGGGAGCTCAGCCGCAGGAACCACTGCACCGGGGTCATTGGTGTACATCTGGTTGTACGTGTACATGCTGTGGTCCTTGCGAGTGGACAGGCACAGCGCCACCTCTGCCGGACTGGCTTCGGTCTCCTCTCGAAGTGCAATGGGAGACATGGAGACTGGAGGAAAAGGAAGACACGTTGGCGTCATATTTTAGAAGTACAAACTGAGAGCAAAAAAGCATCCTTCATTGTGTTACCACAATATTTGCTTTGCATATCTGGCCCGAGTATTGTGTAAAGAAGACTAATGATGACAGGCGCAAGATGTGCAAATCTTTCCAGCATAACATCTTGGCTTTGAGAACAAGTGTGGATTACATCCTACATAGCTGAAGATGAAGGATGTGATTGCTAGACAATCAGAAACTGGGTGTGTATGTGGCTCTCGAGGCTAAGGGGGACAGTTGTGCCTCTGGGCCAGGTGTGTGAGAATGCGAGTGTGAGTGGGTGGGTTGGCTGATGCGCATGAGAGTGTGAGCGTATTGTGCCGGGCTGAAGTCAAACCACTCCTGTTACTGCTTTACCAGTCAGACCAGCTGAGCTAGAGACACAGGCTCGAGCTCCCTTTATACAAACCTCCATGCAACACAATACATCAGATGGATAATCTGCAAATGTTTGCCGGTAAACTATCATGTTCTTTCCTAAGAGGCTGTTCGATCATACCCTACACATCCACTGAAGAGATTATTAGGTCACAGGAGAGAGAGACAACATTGGTTGCATGGAGATTTCAGATGATCAAAAACACTAATACTTGTAGCCTGAACAATGAATCTGTTGATTCTGTTGTGGCACAATCGACTCGCAAATTATAATGCAAATATCTGATGTGTGCAGTGCCTAACGGTAACATGCAACAATCTATATTTCATAGCGACCATATCATCTAAGTTTAGACTTGTAGAGTTAGTTGGTTTCTTGTCATGAAGAAACCAAATGACAGCTTAGTAGTTTCAGTGCCGAAAAGACCAGAATGTCTGTGTGATTTATAAACATATTGTTATTTATTTTATTTGATTATTTTTTTTTTACTTTTTAACATAAGCTACACATAAAAACAGTAGTGATTGTTTCTTTTTGATTTTGCACTTATGTTTGCCAACCCCTCCCTTCACAGACAGTCACACCACAAACAATAACAAGATGAACGACAACAGAACGGACTTGATCTTAAATAGCACATGCATTTAAATATAGACAAAACAGGTCATATTTTTTTAGTGTAGACTAACTCAAATTTGTTTATTGTTCATTAGACCAAGCATTAGATATGGGAACAGCCAGTGATGTGATAGTTTCCTTGTAACTCAACTGCCAAATGCAACTGCATGCTCTTTGTTCCTCTGAAAATAAAACTTTAACAATGTTGCACTGAAACTTTTGAGGCCTAATCCCCCCAGCATTTCACACCTTATTAATGAGGCAACTGATAACAACAGTTAAACTAACAAAAACGTCTCAAGTGCAGGCTACACAAAACAGCAGTCCATCATGATGCTAATTAAACTATTAGGACAATTCTCAGTTCCAGCGGTTTCTTGTTGGCATGCACGTTTCTGAAGACCATAGCTGCAGTTTTGAAGTTTCGCTTAAGCTGAGATGTGTGGCAGTAAACATACTGTATATTTTCCAAAAATGATCATGCTGTACTTAGGCCTGCAGAGTGCTTGCATGATATAAAAACCAAACTTTACATGAAGTCCTAAAATGCTTATATTTTCATGTCATGTTAGCTGTAAATGACCTAGATAATGGGAGGAGACGAGAGAACAATATATAAATGGAAAACAGGCTGAGGTT